ACATGGACAATCACAAAAAAGAATATGAATATACTTAGAGTCACTCAACACGCGATGGAAAGAGCAATGCTAGGTATATCACTTAAGGACAAGAAAACAAACACATGGATAAGACAGAAAACCAAAGTCACCGATGTGGTGCAAAAATCATTTAAGTTGAAATGGGAATACGCTGGACATGTAGCTAGGAGCGATCTAAACAAATGGCACAGATCAATTTTAACCTGGAGACCATACCAACACAAAAGACCCAGAGGCAGGCCTCCTATGAGATGGACAGATGATCTGAAAAGGACTGCCGGGAAAAATTGGCTACAAGTAGCGTACAATAAAAAACAATGGAAAGGAAGACTTGAAGAGGCTTATGTTCAGATGTGGACGTGAATGGCTAGACGAAGAAGAAGAAGAAGATGGAGTAGCAATGGGAAGCCCACTAAGCCCGGTCGTAGCCAAGCTTTTTATGAAGCATCTAGAGAAGGGCGTAATACTGTCAGCATACAAACCAAGGGTATGGTTTAGATACGTAGATGACACTTTTGTGATTTGGGGTCACGGAGTAGAAAAACTTAACGATTTTCTATCTTATATAAACAGATTACATCTGTTTACATCAAATATACAATTTACGATGGAAACAGAGAGAGGTCAACCACTAGCGTTCTTAGATGTATTAGTAAATCGAAAGGAATATTACATAGGACATAAAGAAACAAGGTATCATCAAAACTCTGGCGGAGAGGGCGATGAGAATTTGTGAAACACAGAATCTGCAAAGTAAACTTCTTCATATTGAAAAAGCGCTCACCTCTAATGGTTATATCAGAAGAGAAATACATAAAGCAATTAACAACGTTTCTAGAAGAAAGGGCGAAGAAACAGCATGTTTAGGCAAAGCGTTCTTGACCTATATATCGGGGGTAACAGACAGAATTGGGTGAATACTGAAAAAATCCAATGTAAAGATCATTTTCAAGCCAACAAAGAAAATCAAGGACTGTTTAAGATATGTGGGAACCACGAAAAGACACACAAACACAAGCATAAACGAACATAAAAGCCATCATCTAGAGTTGCCGAACACGCTTTGCGAAGCAGAAAACATCGGATACTTTTTGAAGAAACTCAGATGCTGGATAAAACATCACAGTACTAACAACGGTTATATCGGAAAGCGGTTGAAATATATAAGCATCCAAAGAGTTTTAATCGGATAGAAGGACTAAAAATAACAAAACATGCCAATATTAAAATTTACAAACACCATTACAGCGAGTCATGAAAAAAGAAGAGCTACAAACAACAACAGACCCGAAACCAGTGGAGGTTAGGCGTATAGAATATATAAATAAAAATAAGGGCCTCCGTAATACAACGAAGTATTTATTTGTAAGCAAGCTCAGCACTTCGCAGTGAGCCGTGATAGTGATCGGTAGTATTCCGTTTTAAGCCATTCCACGCTGCTTAAGCAAGGCAAAAAGCGAATATATCAGAGACATTAGGATAAATTGAGGCATTCTGACAAGTTAGTGTTTTAATTTTTTTTTTGGAGATTTTGTCGGTCACAGTGTAGGCTTATAGGGTGGTTTCAGTAAGAAAAGGCCACCTATGTAGGCTGCTGCTCGGGCTGCCAGCTTCCAGTTAAGGATTTAGACTAGCTAACACTGTCTTGATACTCAATTATATTCGGCAACCCGTCAATCTGCACATTGTACAAGGTGCAGTTAAAAAGGTGTCTTCTAGGTCAACCTCAAGCCCCGCTTCCTCCCATGCCCCGTTCTACCAGAGTTAACTACTCCAAACCGGCTGAACCATCTGATCCCCCTCAAAACACCTAACATAGCAATACGAAAACACTCGACAACACAGCCTTCCTTACCCTTACCTACTCATAAAAACTCATATTTTCACCCAATCATGCACACACACTGCCAAACGATTTCGGTCACCCTGTTAACACGTCACCCACACACATACCTACCTTCCACATCCCCAAAGACTCAACTACCCCTATTATGAATAGCTACACAGACAGATTCGTCAATGACATCGTCATTGTATTTACCCTCCTTGCCGACCAGATTGACCGGTCGATCGCAGCTTTGTAACTGTCCCGATCATCTGTAACCCCTATCCCTTCCTTCCCCTCCACCACCATCCAAGCATCTACCCTACAGCACACAACAACCACCAAAACTACACAAATACAACCGACACCGACAGCAAATAAAATTTGTGAACCTCATCTATAGATGGTTCGAAAACAACACGGATTTAGAACAAAATGTTTAAAATTTTGCAGTATCCACCACCTGCAGCAAACAACAACTCACCACCTATGACAATCACCCCGTTATTGTATGCTACTGCTATGCATACCCCCAGACCACAACCCCCTTTCTCTTCCTCCACCCCTTCACCTCAGGAATCCCACCTTCTCAACCAAAATCATACGATAACACTATTACTTACATCCGTCTGGAGAAGTCTACACAATGTGACTTCTTCAAAATCGTAAACTCTAGAGAGCTCTTGTTAAATCAAATCTCTACTGTAAAAGTACTTGCAACCCAGATCGCACAATTCACTACCATCTACCCCATCAACCACGTTGACCTACAACGTAAGCTCCGTGAAACACTGGGTGATTTAAAAATCCAGATCACCCCTAAACACAGACCCACACTCAGAAACCCTACCCGTCTAACCACCCCTACATACATAGTGATCATCAAAAGCGTAAACAAGGTCTACTCCGATGCCGACCTTACAAAAACATTCTCAGTGATGGCCATTCGGCTATGGAGGTTTATATCTCTTGCCAACCTCCCTACCCCCCTTACCACTGAACATAATATCATCCCATCATTTCAAATCGGCTTTAGAGAAGGTCACACACCTTAAACAAAGTTTAAACGACGGCAAAGTCTCCTTAGGCATATTTCTCGGGGTTCAAAGAGTCTTCGACCAAGTCTTGCATGCTGAACTGGTCAGGAAACTGTTGAACATCGGCTTGCTCCTCTCATTCGTTAGACTTATCCATTCATATCTCTCTTGACATCCAATCACGGGGAAAGAGCGAGGTCACTTCTCCTACTTTTTACTCCTACAGCAGAAGTACCACAAGGTTCAGTGTTGGCTCTAATATTATACAGACTTTATAACAGTGGCTTCCTCAATCTACAATACACCAATACAACCACTCTACGCAGATACGTCCGCTCTCTTAACAACATCACGAGACGTGAACGCAGTAATTAGGTGTGCTCAAAATCACCTTAAGCTCGTCAACAGGTGATGTAGGAGATGGAGAGTAACACCTAACCCAAATAAAACACAAATGATTCTCTTTAGATACCCCAGTCGCAGCAGATTCATCACACCCATCATATCCGAAAGACACGATCTTAGACTTTGAGGACCGACTGCAAATCCGCGACCGGATTGAGTACCTCGGTGTGGTGTTTACACAAACACTAAACTGGAGGACTGGAGGACATAGCCTGTAACAAGGCTAGGAGCAGAGTCGGTGTACTCAATGCTCTTTGTAGAAAGTTTGGAAGGACACACCCACGTACACTCACACATACATACAAAACATTTATTAGGCCGGTCGTCGAGTATAGATCCAACATCTATATGGCGATGCGCGGCCACCTCACACAGAAACTGCTGGGACTGGACAGGCGAATCCTGCGTAGAGTGAATAACAAAGGACGTTACTACCCTCCGCCCTTATTCACCACCTGTCAAATATCCATAACATTATTGAGGGGCTCTCCTCTCTGAGCAGGAGTTACACAATCAAAACTATCCGAGGCCAAAATTTAAGAGCCCACAACATACTAAGAACTACCTGCTCATCCATTGAAAATATATTCAGAAGAAAACCGAAACCCAAACTCTCTTTTCTACCCACAATATTACTGGCCCTTGCCAGTAACGATCTCCCTGATGAATACATTGACATCTTGAGGCAACTACCCTCTACTACCGTCACATGAACCAGCAAATGCTTACTTCGAGCTTACCTAGACAAGAAAGGATCGGTTTTCTGTGGTTTCCCGATCCCATTGCATAATGATACCTATCTATTGCAGAGGATACAGCTACAGCTGCCCTTAGGCGAGCCGCGATTCAATACACTTATTATTATTAAATTGTATACATACACATTCACATATTTATAAATATATTTTTAGCAAACAAAATTTTAAAAAGGAAATTCAACAGTCCTTTTACCTCTGATTGTCCAGGACGCTTCTTTGCTGACTGGTCTACGATCACCGGTGAAACCTACACAGCCAGAAAATCAAGCAAACAAAAACAAACCACGTCCTGAAGAGGAAAGAAACCTATAACAGGACACTAAAACATAAAAAACAAAAAAGCCAACCCACCACAAGAACGAACACCGAGTTATGGGATTATCTAATTTTGCGGTCGTTTTAAAGTTATGCGCTTACAATCATTTCAGAGAATAATTTTTATTGATATAGATTACTTTGGAAACCTAATCCACCGCCCTTGTTCTTAGTAGAACTATAAATATTTCAAAAATTAATAATTTGAGACATATAAAAACTGATGAACACTTATCATATTTAAAAATGATTTAATTTATATATCCTTTAAAAAAAACACACAACTTTGGTTCATTTCGTTGTTCTGACTGACCGTGTATTATCGAAAATAATTTTAAATTATAGACGTATTTAATACACATTAGTTTTGTTATAAACGTGCTTTTAGATATTTCATAGTTTAACCGTAACAAAAGAAAACCAAAGGTTTGGCGCACCCTGTATAATTTTGAGGCTATGTTTCACGAATCACATAATTTATCAAAAATTTGTGGGTACCAAAAACTATTAAACCGACAAACACAATTTGTATACATGTGTATAAAAGCCTTATTATAAATGCGCAAAATATAAATAAGAATTATTAAAAAATCACTAAAAGCTTAAATAAAAACAATTTTAAATAATAAAATAACTTACCCCTTTCTGTTGACGCTAAATGTACTAATAACACCACTATCACAAGCATAAACACAAAAGTCCTTATTTTACATGTTGGTCGAAGAATCTGAAATAAAATAAGACAATTTAATTTCGTGATCATCGGTTTCAATATATTTTAGTATAAACAAAATATAGAGATTAAAAATTAATTTGTTTCTGGTCATCATAACCAGCACATTAACATAATTGTTTTTTTTCTCCTTTATGATGTTTATAGTAAAAGCACATAATAATAAACAATCAGAATGCTCACTCTCAGAAGCCGCCTTTGAAGTTTTTCAGCACGCGCGTCATGTTTTAGAAGGAAACACATAACACAGACATATGATTTGTGAGGTTATGTAATTGTTTATATTTATGTTGAATTATATTATATTTATGTTATTATATTTACCAATGTTAATATAATTGTATAGCATGTCTATGATTGCCGTAAGTCAATTAAACCGGGTTAATTTTTCTATGCACATCACATAAACAACACTGGTTCCCTCTAAAACATGGCGGAACGTCTGCGCGAAGGAGATGCGCGTACTTAATTTTCCATGGAGAGTGGGCATTCTGAAGTATAATTATTGCAGTTAATCTGTTGTCACTTCTATAAAACCTTCCTTTATCCTTCTTTTGAAACCGTTTGAAAAAAGAAGGTGGGTATAAATTCTTATTGAATAAAAATTACATCAACAAACAGTACTTATGAAGATTACAGTTTGTATAGTAATTAACGATACAAAAGTGAAATTTCAGTTTGAATTACACCTTAATAGTAAACACTAAAATCGTTTTCATGCGCTGTTAATATGACTCAAATAAACTTTCACCTGTAAGTCGATTTGCAGATGAATATCAGAAAACATAACCATAACGACAAATAGTAATATATATATATATATATATATATATATATATATATATATATATATATATATATATATATATATATATATATATATATATATATATATATATATTTAATATAGAATTAGTGTTTCTTGGGTTTAGGTTTAATAAAGATATATTACATGTGGAACTAGATTTTATTTTCCATAGCAATCAACGTTTCAACCTTACCTTTGTCAAGATTCTAAAATGTACATGTATACGGACAAACGAAAGAAACCGTAGATTCTACACTTTAAAATATTACGATTTAAGTCAAGCTGATTTAATAAAATGTTGATATTAGGAAAGATACAGGGTGTTAAAATGGAAATTTAAAATATTATTTTTCGCTATAATTTTTATGTTTGTCAACATTTATGTATAAAAATTTACAACTGGGTACTATTAAATATCTGAAATTAAAATTTGATATATACTTTGATGTAGCTGATAGAGGGCGCCACATATGCCACACATGTGGCATACATTTGCATGTAACTTTTTTGTTCTTTAAGTTATCGATATTTTTAATAAAAACTATTAAAGATACGTTATTTTAACAAAAAAAAAGGTATACTTGTTAACACCTTCAAAACTCAACAGGTTTCGAGATAATCTCAATTTAGAAATCAACTACATAATTCTGATTTATCGCAATTACTCTAGGCAACGAAAGGAAATTAAAGAAAAACATCAATACTTCTAAATTTTGGTATAAAATACCTTTAATAAAGTTAATAGTTAATGAATTATTAAATAAAATAAATATATCAACAGAATAAAATAATAGGATTTGATAAATAACAGAATAATTGGATTTTACATTAAACATTTTACGTTTTGTATTAAATTAAAGTTATAATCAAAACATTTTATTTACAAACCAAATTAAGAAATAGTTAAAGTTAATAAAATTAAACTTTTTGTCAAAGTAAGTGTTTACTATGTCCATAATTTTCTTTAATTCATTTGTCAGTACATTCCATAAAATATCGTCTCATATTAAATAGCGTCATTGGTTCTGAAGAAACTGCTGCAGTATTTATTATAAGTGTTATAAGTATAATAATAAACAATTTTTTGAAACGTTTTTGAATTAAATAATTATATTAATATCTTACTACAAGAATATGACTACCATGAACAATCCAACGTTCAGGAAAGTTGTATTTAAATACTGTCTCACTCCGCTTTCTCTGTAATGTAATGGTTTACCATCTTGTAGAAACCACATATTTCGCCTTAAATTTGATGACAATTCTTTCAATATATCAATAAAATATAATTTTATAAAAAATTAAATATATCTCGTTATTCAAATTGCAAGATAATTCGCATATCCGTAAAAAATAATTATCAATGCTTCCAAACCATAGGACATGCATTATAAATATTAATTTTGAATAATGTTTTACGGATATGCGAATTACCTTTCAATTTTAATGGTGAGATTTATTTACATTCTTTACAAAATGATTTATTGATTTATTGGAAGAATTGTCATCAAAGTTAAGGCGAACTATGTCGTTTCTACAAGATGGTACACCATTACCATACAGAGAAAGCGAAGAGAGACAGTATTTAAATACTTCTTTAAACTTTCCTGAACGTTGGATTGTTCATGGTAGTCATATTCTTGTGGTGAGATATTAATATAATTATTTAATTTATAAACATTTCAAAAAATTACTTATTAGTATACTTATAACACTTATAATAAATACTGCCGCAGTTTCTTTAGAAACAATGACGCTATTTAATATGAGACGATATTTTATGGAATGTATTGACAAATGATTTAAAGAAAATGGTGGACATAGTGAACACTTACTTTGACAAAAAGTTTAATGTTATTTAGTTTAACTAATTCTTAATTTGGTTTGTAAATAAAATGTTTTGATTATGACATTAATTTAATACAAATTAAAATAAAATGTTTGATGTAAAATCCAATTATTCTGTTATTTTATCAAATCCTATTATTAATTATCCTGCTGATATATTTATTTTATTTAATATTTCGTTAATTTTTACTTTATTAAGGTATTTTATAATAAAATTCAGAAGTATTGATGTTTTTATCTATTTTTCTTTCATTGCCTGGAGTAATTGCGTAAAATCAGAATATTATGCAGTTGATTTGTAAAATGCAATTATCTCCAAAATTATTGAGTTTTGAAGTTATTAACAAGTATATCTTTTTTTTTTGTTAAAATAAGGTATCTTTAATATTTTTTATTTTAAATACCGGTAACTTAAAGAACAAAAAAGTTAAGTGCAAATTTATGTCACGAATGTGGCATATGTGGCGCCCTCTATTAGCTATATTAAAGTGTTCATCAAATTATAATTCCAGATGTTAAATTGTACCAGCTCTAAATTTTTGTATATAAATGTTTACAAACATAAAAGTTATAGCGAAAAATAAAATTTTAAATTTCCACCTTAACACCCTGTATCTTTTTTATTATCAACATTTTATTAAAGCAAGTTAGCTTAAATCGTAATATTTTAAAGTATAGAATCTGCGGTTTCTTTTTGTACAATTACTTAAGGACCACCCTGTATATATATATATATATATATATAATATATATATATTATATATATATATATATATATATATATATATATATATTTATATATATATACATATAGATATATATATATATATATATATATATATATATATATATATATATATATATATATATATATATATATATATATATACATATATCTTACCACAACGTAAAACAGGACACAGAAATTAATGAACTGACAAATATAAGTTGTTATCTGATATTTCTTGGTTTACTGTTATTAGTATATAATTATTTGTATATGGGCCTATCATTGGTGTTTTCGAAAAAGGTAAAGTGGAGATATGTAATGGTTTTGATACTGTTATTAGTATATAATTATTTGTATATGGGCGTATGATTGGTGTTTTCCAAAAAGGTAAAGTGGAGATATGTTATGAATTTAAGAGCTTTTTATTAATGTTATATTATTATTATTTAAATCAGATTGAAATATATTTTATTTAGGTTTTGTGTATCTTTTTTGTCATTTATTGCGTTGATATTTCATATCTCCACTTTAATAACTATTTGTCAGATAAAACAATATTTATCTGTAGGTGGTCATTATGGCCATTCATGTAAGAAGTATATTATTAGAAAAATTCTTAGTGAATCTCTTTCGAAAGTATATTGATCCTAAAATATTGGCTGCGAATTTGGTAATTAGTAAAAAATATAATACAAAACTCGAGCTTTCCCAACAACTAAATTGCCAACCAAACTAGATCGATTTCCTAAGACGAATGTAAGTACGTAAAAGTTTACCGATTCTCCAAAAGTGATTTATTTGTCATGAAAGTTGTACCGCAGACTAAAATAATATTTTTTTATGTCCTAGGTTTAAATAGGAGGAATTCAAAAAACATTAAGTGAAGTGACTGTAGATGGCAATTGATTGGATCCCCGGTAGTGGCGGGCAAAATCACCAGTATATATATAAATATATATATATATATATATATATATATATATATATATATATATTATATATATATATATATATGGATATACAGATTGAACGAAATAAATTCGGAACATACGAAATATTATGTATTTCGACTCAATTCTGCTGTAGGTGGTTGGCCAACAAAAGGTTGTCCAATAATTATATTATATAAATCCAATACTTCAGCAGGCTGCTGGATTCTGAACTAATTCAAGAACTCATTCATAGGTGGTCAAACGACCTGTCGCTTCCTAAAGCCGGCCACTCACTGTACAGCGGTGTCGTTCGACATAATCGGACAGAGGCGTTGTTCAATTTGTTGGTATATCTGGTGCGCCCACACACCATACTGCGCCGCAGTATTTGTTCGGTTCTCGACTATATCAAATAAAACAATTATTTTAGCATATCTTACTTTGTGTATAACTAAGCGTAAAAAGAAACCTAAAATAAAACGTAGAGTCTGGAATCCAAGTAGAATTCTGGTAGAATCCAAGATTTTGGTGCAAAATAAATCTCGTCTGCCCCTGCACCCGATTTACTGGACTGCACTGCTAATTTTAATTCTTTTTTATAGGATGTTCTAAAATTGTTAATTTTTTTTCTTACATACACTTCATTCGCATCTTTGTTTACTTCTTGGAACTTTAA